TCGCTCCCCAAAGGGGAGTGGTTACCTAGTCTGATTGGCAGGTGGATGGATAGAGGTAAGATCAGGTAGGGGCAAGACGGGGTGTGGTCTCTAGCTCATGAGTCTAATCAATCTAATCCTATCTGCCTGATTGGGTCCCATATCAATTTGACTTTCTGACTTACTATGTCAGCATAACGCAAAGCTGCCTCTTTTTTACAGCAAATCTTTTGCATCATCCTCTTTCCCATTTTGAATTAATGCAGATAATAAATCCCAACTACACATGTTTTTTAAGTCAGCAAATGTCCCAATTATAGTGCAAAGAAGCAGTAAAAAAAGGAAAGGGACTTATAATTAAGACAAAATGCTAAAGCTTATAGGCTACACTAACAGATGCCATGCAGTCATCAGAAGCTTGCAGCTTCTCATAGAATCACCATGGAGCTCCCAGCCACTCAGGTAGGCTGATAGGACCAGAGTCATGGTCAACGTGAGCCTGGTTTTTCAAAATGGAGGACCACTCTGGTCAAGGGTTGTTATCCTTCAGTTTGCATGGCAATTGTTCTAGAAATAATGCAGAACCAATATTTAAATGCAAAGCAGCAAAGCTGCAAGCTCAGAGGCGTTTAACCTGGATGTATATGCAAATTGATATATTCCAAGGTTACGTGTAGTATAGGACAATTCTTCTGTGTCCTGTGCCTATTTGGACTCCCAGCACTGCTGACCCCTGCCCACTAAATGCTGGTAGAACTCTTGATCATTATTATCACCAAAAACATCCCTAGGGGGCAGTACTACTATTCTTTGAAACCTATTGCTAGAGTACCAAGTGTCAAGGCTGAGAATTTTCTATTTTTTCTCACAAAAGAGGCTGCAGCCCCCCTAGAAGGTATAGCAGGTATTTCATACATCAGCCATGACTTAGTGTGGGTATAAAAGGCAGGGCAAACCTCCAGGAGCTGTTAAGCAGGGTTCCAGCAATTTCTTTGGCATCTGTTTTTCTTTCCTTTTTAAGGCAAAATTCAGAGGGTGGGGTGGCAATCTATGGTTCTTGGAGGTGGTATGTGCTTGTCTACACTGCTGAGGACCAAGTACTTATGGCAAATCACCCTTGTGTTTCTGTTCTTCAGCCACCTAGGAACATATGGAGTTTTTACAAATGCTGCATTTGACCCCATCCCTTAAGGTAAGTTACTGTGAATCTTTAATTTAATTAATTTATTTCAGAGAGAGAGAGAGAGAGATGAAGAAATAGAGAAAGAGAACTCCCTTCTGTTGACTGATTCACTCTCTAAATACTCGCAACAACCACAGCCACAGCTATGCCGGAGCAGCAGCCAGGAACATAAACTAAAGCCAAGTCTCCCACATGTGTAGCATGAAAATTATTGAGCCATCAATGCTGCCTCCAAGGGTCTGCATTAGCAAGAGGCTTGAATCAGGAGCCAGAGCTAGGAACTGAACTCAGATACTACAACATGGGAAACAGGCATCTTTAATAATTAGGCTAACCACTCACTCCAAAGATATTTTTAAATGAAATAGAATAAAGGGAAATGGAAAAATATAAATTTGACTTTTATATAAACATGTATTACATTTTAAGCATTCCTTAACTTTTCTGACCAAGAGGGAAATTGTGTTTACAGTAGGAGGCAAGGATGAGAGCAGAAAGTACACTCATAAAAAGGTTTCCATTTCTCCCAGGATAGAAATGTTCTAAGACATAAGGTATTTCAAGATGTCTAACACTAGGCTGCTAAATGATATTATCACTGTGGCCTTGCCTGACACGCAGAAACCAGGACTGCTGGGAAAATTCAACCAATATGTTATGGGGTCAATCTCTTCTGCTACTTCCTAGGAAAACAAAAACAATCCCAAACTTTCTATCTTCCAAAAAGCTCAGTGAGTAATTGAGTTTCTTATGAAACTCAATTCCAAATATGCTATATTAACAGCAGCATATTTGGAATCTACAAAGAGGTGATCATTTGAGCTTTAAGAAATAGATATGACACAAGATTTCTTTCTTTCATTTTTTGAGGAAACTACAATTATCTTAATTTCTTTTGTCTCATTTTTAGAGGCCTGGTCTTCTCCTAGTCATCTCATTCAAGCTCCACAGGTTCCTGTCTGTGAACACTGGGTTTCCTGCTAGACCCGACTGTGACTGTAACATGTTTGCTGCAGTTTTCTGTAAATACTTGTGAATAAAGGACATGGCATTTCCTTTCAATTAGCTCTGGGTCAAAGCAGGATTTTACCACATTCCCAAACTCTCCACTCACCAGCCCTTCCTGCTCGACCTCTGCTCTTCCTCCAACGAAGCTGCAGAAGCCAGAGCAGACGACTCATTGGAAGACCAGCTGGTGGAGCAAGAACATCACCCCTTTATTTTTGGACTGAAAGGGAGGGGTCCGTTAGTTTGTTGGAAGACAGGCGCCTTCTCAACTTGGAGGAATTCCTGTGCGGTCTCCTGGAACCTCCAGTGGTTGCTGCTGCTGCTGCTGAGGCCTCCTACACTTCTGCTGTTGATGTTTCCAGAGATGCCTCTGGATGGTACTGGAAACTATGGAAAAGCAGGAATCAAGACGCTATTCAGTTCGTCAAACACAAAGACCAACATTCAAGTGTATAAATAAAATGATCCCCAAATCCCATGATTTGAGTTTTATTCAATGAAGTCTGTCACATGTCTCTGTCTACCACCAGTGCAATGCATGTTTCAGTTGTCAGCTAGTCAACAAATGCATCAGACACTACTACCCCAACAGAAAGAGAAGTGGGAAAAGTCTTCATCACCTTCTTCTTCTACAGTGAAGAATGCATGTGTTTTTTGTGTTCTTTAGAAGACATGTTCAGCAAATAGATCATGGAAAATTACACTGCAATTATCAGGAACTTATACCAAAAAGGCGCCGTGGCTCACTAGGCTAATCCTTTGCCTTGCGGCGCCGGCACACCGGGTTCTAGTCCCGGTCGGGGCGCCGGATTCTGTCCCAGTTGCCCCTCTTCCAGGCCAGCTCTCTGCTGTGGCCAGGGAGTGCAGTGGAGGATGGCCCAAGTGCTTGGGCCCTGCACCCCATGGGAGACCAGGAAAAGTACCTGGCTCCTGCCATCGGATCAGTGCTGTGTGCCGGCCGCGGCGGCCATTGGAGGATGAACCAACGGCAAAGGAAGACCTTTCTCTCTGTCTCTCTCTCTTACTGTCCACTCTGCCTGTCAAAAAAAAAAAAAAAAAAAAAAAGAAGAAGAAGAAAAAAAGAAAGCCAAACAATAAAGTTATCTTGTCTCTATGAAATGTGATGTGGTAATGTGATGTGGTAATTCTATCACACAGATTTGATACACAGAATCAAGCATATGGGTAAAAATGGTAAAGCAATCTAGTGAAAGATTACAATACTTGTACAAGAAATTTGGTTGTAACCTTAAGATTTAGGGACACAGGACCTTTTAAAAGTTTCCCTGAGATACTGCCAACGGCATGGCATTTCTGGTTGCTTATCATATATCAGTCACTAGGCAAATTATTATAAGACAATGGTTTCAATCCTGTCCATCCCATGAGTGAGAATCTGCATTTTTTTTAAAAGCTCCCTGGGGAGCTCTTTTTTCAAAAGTAATGACTATTTGAAAGGCACAAAGACACACACACACACACACACACACACAGAGATCTCCTATCAGCTAGATTACTTCCAAAATGTCCACAACAGCCCACGATGAGCCAGGCCAAAAGTCAGGAGCCTGCGACTCAATCTGAATCTCCCACATGGGAGGCAGGGACTACTTGGGCTATTATCTGCTGCCTGCCAGTGTATGCATTAGCAGGAACTTGTAATCAAAAGAGGAGCTGAGACATGAACCCAGGGGGGACAAGTGGAGTCTTAACTCTTGTGCCAAACACCTGCCCCTCTCTCAGGGAATTCTAATTGCCTAACAACTTCAGGAATCACTAATATTATAGACACAGAAGTATAAGGAATTGTTCCTGCTCTTCAATAGCTTATAATCTAGTTGTGGGTACAGTACTCACATAAAATGATAAAGGGTAGTCAACACAAGTATATAACTTGAATAGTGTTGGAAGAGCTTATAAAATGGAAAAGTCAATTTGAGCCCCAAATCATGGAGAGTAGAACAATGAACTTCAAAGGCTGGACAAGCAATGAGAAAGAGAATGAGTGTTCTAAGTTGGCAGAATAATATCAGCTGAGGACACAGACAGAAATGGTGTGCAGAGGGAGGCAGGCTGCTGAGGAGCTGACGTCATTACTGGAGAGCACCTGTCAGGTGCCTGCTTACAACGCATCAAATGCATAAAGCCTAAGAGAGTTTGAGGGCAGCAGACCCGCAGCCCAGCACAAGTCATCACAGTGCTCCAGGTCATAGCACCCTCAGCTCCTCCGTCAACAGCAAGGTAAGATGTACGGCAACGTGAAACCACCAGATCCTTCAATAAACAGAAGACAACTTACTGGCAGCAAAATAAATCCACAGCAATAAATATGCTGTGTGCTTTCTAAGTTCTAGAAATTATACAGTGTGCAGTAACTTTTTGTCCTCACGACAACTCTAGAAAGAGAAATTATTATTATCATCCCTATTTTGAGGATGTCGCACTGCACACCAGAGAGGTAGAGTAACTAGCCCAAGATCACACAGCTAGCAGGTAAAACTAAAATATGGACTAAATATCTCAGGAAAGCTCTTTACATTGTTTGCTATGCTGATGCTTCAGCTGCTGACTGACAGGTTCTCATCAAGACAGAACTGTGTTAGAAGTCAGCAAAGTGACTCAGAGCCATGTTCACGTGTTTGTCCCTTGTTTCTTTACCACCTAATAACAGGGTTCAATACCTTTTCCCACAAGTCAGGAGAGATGTGGTGAAGGGTGCCAGGTTCCATCAGACTCGGCATTACAGGGGATCTGGCAAATGTGGACTTTGACCCAAACCGGTTTTGTGACAGGTGGTGGGCGGCTCCCACCCCAGTGGTAGCAGCAGGTACAAATGGAGGAACATAGTTTTTCCGCGGTACTTGAAATCCCTGGGTATTGTCCTTCCTGCCAGAGCCTCTGTTCTCTGCCCTTTTCTCGCCTATGGTAAAAAAGCCACTAATCTGGTTGCTCTCCCTAACAAATTCCTCTTGTCACCAGGGGCAGTCCCTGACAGGAAAAGCCCCAGGACTCGGGGAGGGAGAGAGCTAGAGGCTGCTGGAGAAGAGGGTGCTGCCACCCGCCGCCTCTGGAGCTCACTGCAGCGAGGACAGCCAGCCCAGCACAGGGCGCCGTCAGCCACCGGGCGAGCCCTGCCCGGTCCTGCGGTGGCAGCAGGCAGGATCAGGGGAGGCATCATGTTGCCAGGCTGCCCACACCTCTGGGTCCTGCTGGTCCTGGGCACCAGCTGGGCAGGCTGGGGGAGCCAAGGGACGGAAGCAGCACGGATAAGGCAGTTCTACGTGGCTGCGCAGGCCATCAGCTGGAGCTACCGCCCCGAGCTCACAAACCTAAGGTAACTCAGATCTGGTGTCTGCGGGGGCTTCACTAGGGAAAGTAATCTATTGGTTTTAGAGAACACTTTCTTTGCATTTCCATGACTTAAAAAAAGAAAAGAAAAGAACAGAAAAGAAAAGAAAAGAAAACTTCAGACGAGTAAATGCAATTCATAGGAGAGTATAATGACATAAACTTAGTGGATGATAATTTTGCCTCCAGTAAAATGGTTTATTATTCTGAGAATATAGAGCATACTCAGTTGGATTGGTTAGATGCTGCTTTCAAGAGCTTGATTTTTGCTTAAGAAGGGGAACAGGAGAGGGAGGAGGGAGAAGGGTCGGAGGGCAGGTAGGGTAGGTGGGAAGAATCACTTTCTTCCTCAAGTTGTGTTTATGAAATGCATGAAGTTTGCATACCTTAAATATTTCTGGGAATAAAAGACTGTTTTTTAAACACAGTTTTGTTAACACGTTTGATTGTTGGTTTCATATATTGATTGATTCAAAGTGCCACTGGCTCCCTCATTGGCCTCCCAGCAATCTCTTGCTGCAGATTTTAGTTTCCAGATTTTTATGAAACTTTGGATTACATATTGTCTATTACATTGTCTGCATAACCGCATCTTCTAGAACTAAAACATACAGCTTGAACTTTATTACAAACAGATCATTCAATAACTATTGCCATAATTTTGTTGCTTTCTTATAAATGACTTTCAAAATTTCATCAGTCCCTAGAAATACATCCTTTTCACACTTTCTGCTTTTCCTGGTTCCCATTTGATTCATTCATGCTTCGAAAGTGACTCTCACTTTTTTCTCTCACTCTTAATCACCTCCTGGGATATGGTTTACACTGGCTATTTTGTCAAGGTCAGTATTAAAAGGCATACATAAACAAAAGGAAGTTTAAGTGATATAAAACAATCTTTGAGTTGTAAACTACGTTTTGCTAATTCAAAGAGTAGAAAAAAGACTTTCCAGAAACTGACAAGATCATAGTATATATTCAATGTCTCCAGTTTGTTATATTATTTAAGTAGTAAACCTCTTAGTGTGACTCATTTTTTAACATAACATCACAGTTTAAGTGATTGTGAAAGATTTGTTCCTCTTTTACAGTTACAAAACCAAAGCAATCAGTCAGGAAATAATGTAATATTTTGAAAGTATATTAATGTACAACATTAACCCTTTTAAAATTTCATCATACCTGAGTTATTTGGGAGGGTATTACATACCACTGTGGTCTTAATAATAATAAGGAATCACTTCTTTTTTAAAAAATAAGTATTTTAAATATTGCATCTCAAGGTGATAATCTAGGTCATACCTACCCTCTTAGGGAAATGACTTTAACTAAATCCCCACAGAAAACAATGGTCTTTCCAATGCTAATCTTGCTTGCTGGTGAGCAGAACAACTTGGTTGCTGGTTTCCTGTGGTGATGCTGTGTTTATGCGTGAAGGAGTGTGGGGGTTGGGAGATGTGGGTCAAAGGAGACACAGTGGCTAACATGCAGGGTGAACAGTGGCAGATGTAACATACAACATGACGACGACCGTCAACAACAGGGCATTGCACTGGCTGTCTGCCTCTGATCAGAGGGGAAGGCTGAGTGAAGTACTGACAATAGGATCCAACTGGAGGAAGTTAGTCCTGAGTGGCTTCTGTCATGCCTGTGAAATATGCTGCCAAGATTAGGATCCTGAATCCCATTCAGCCTAGAGACAGAGAAGAAAACAACCATTACCAGAGTCAGGGTGGCTGTGGGCGAAGGGAAGTTTGAATCTTTTTGTTTTGCTTTTATTTTTTATTGTTGTTTAATTGAGAAGCAGAGAGAGACAGAGAATTTCCAATGACTGGTTCACTCCCCAGATGCCTGCAATGCCTGGGGTGGGGTCAACCTGAAACCAGAAGTCGGGAACTTCATCCAGGTCTTCCGTGTGGGTAGAGGTTCTGAATCCCTTTGAGACATCACTTGTTGCATCCAAGGTGCAAATTAGCAGGAAGCTGGAATCAGGAATGGAGCCAAGACTTGAACCCAAGCACTGTGATTTGGGGTTCAGTTGTCCCCAAACCAGCGCTAACGTCCACCCCAGTTTAATCTTTTTAAATCTTGGCTCTGCTATTTATCAACTACATCAATATTTATCCACTCTATCTCCTTGAACAATTTTTTGGTTGTTTGTTTCCAGTATAAATTCCAGAGCTCTTATTCTTATTCCAACTTATAAACTAGAAATAAACTACAGCAGATTGATACTAATTTGCAATGTTTCCCAGTAGCTTAAAACTTTCTCTCTGAAAGAGAATTTTAGAAAGATGTATTTGATTAATCAGTTGAAAAATAACTTTCATATTTATTTCTTTTCTATTTTTTTACTTTTCACTTCTTTGAAAAGCATAGAGATAGAGAGATCTTCCATCTCCGGGTTTAGCCCCCACAATAGTGAGTGCTGGGCCAGGACAAAGCCAGGAGGCCATAATACAACCTGAGTCTCCTACATGGGTGGAAAGGACCTAAGCCACTTGAACCATCCCCTGCTGCCCTCCAAGGTGAACATGAGGAGGAAGGTAGAATTGGAAAGCGGGACAAGGACACTAATCCAGTTACTCTGACATGGGATGCAGGCACCCCAAAAGATGCCTGAACTGCTGCACCAAAACTCTGCCCTGCCTACTCATTCATAGAGGATTTGGTCATATTTTCAATCATTTAAAACCTAAATATAAAGTCTGGCATTGCATCATGATCTTGAGTTCTTTTTATAAAATTGATTATAACAATATTAAAACAGCCTAGAGGCTGGCATTGCTGTATAGTGGGTAAAGCCACCTCCTGCAAAGCTAGCACCCCTATGGGAAGCAGTTTTAGTCCCAGTTGCTCCACATCCAACCCAGCTTCCTGCTAACAACCTGGGAAAGCAGTAGAAGATGGCCTAAGAGATTTGGCCCCTGCATCCACGTGGGAAACCCAGAAGAAGCTCTGGATTCCTGGCTTCAGCCTAACCCAGCCCTAGCTGTTGTAGCCATTGGGGATTGAAATAGCCAATGGAAGATCTCTCTCTCTCTCTCTAACTCTGCCTTTCAAATAAATAAAATAAAATTTTAAGCTAGCCTAAATTTTTGAAAGAAACCTTATCATAGCAGAATAACAGACTATTTTTGAACAGACCAAAAATTATGTTGCTTAGTGTTCATATTAATAAAAGCTTGGATTTCTGAATTATAATAAAAATATTGTTACTTTACTAGAAATATGAAGATAGTAGATATTTTACATAATATGAGCAAATGTCATATATGCCTTTCAAATTAGTTTTTGTATTTTATTTCCAGTTTGAATACTTCTGGAACCTCCTTTAAGAAAATTGTCTACAGAGAGTATGAAGCATATTTTAAGAAAGAAAAACCACAATCTAGCATTTCAGGTAAGCCTCAAGTATATTTCTAAAATACATTTTTTAAGTTTAAATATAAATTTTATAGATAATTTTATGCCAATAACTATCTAAAATATTTAGTGACATTTTGTAGAAATTTGTTGCTGTTGTTTTTTATCAGTATTGGCTATACGGTACATGGGGCCCAGTGCACAATGAGAATGTGGAACTCCCTGTTCAGATTATTGAGAACTGACAATTTTAAAACAGTGACAGCAAAGCTTTAAACCAAGCAGGAGGTCCTTCTGAGTATGGAGCCCTGTGAAACTGCACTGGCAGCATGCTCAAGAAGGTGGCTGTGCTTTTAACCTTGATCAAAAGAACTAAACGAAACTTCAAGACTTTTCGATTTTTATTCATTCATGGAAAAAACTATAGCTGTGTACTTGCTATGAGCTGGGAATGGAATTATGTGCTATGGATGCAAGAGTGGATAAGGCAGACCTAAATTATGTCTTCCTGGGGTTTATGGTCTGATTTAATGAACACAGCTGTACCTAAATAGAATTAATTTTTGCCTCCATCTGTTCCCTAGACTCATTCAAAATGAGTCTACATACATATGGCTGATTCTTTTATATCTCTCTCCCCACCTATTCTCCTTTTTATTTTTTAAAATATTTATTTATGTGAAAGGCAGAGTGGTAGTGAGGGAGAGACAGAGAGATCTTCGATCTACCAGTTCACTCCCCAGCTAACTACAACAGCCCAGGCTGGGCCAGGAGTCAGGAGCTAGGAACTCTCACATAGGTGGCAGGAATCTAAGTACTTGGGCTATCATCTGCTGTCTCCCAGGTGCATTAGTAGAAAGATAGATCAGAAAGAGGGCATCTGGGACTTGAACAGTCACTCCAGTATGGGATATGGGCACATCAATTCCATTTTGTCTCTTGTACCATAATGCCCACCCCTCTATTCAACGGGATGTATACAATAGCTATGACTTTTAAAGACTCTCTCTCGCTTTTTCATCATCTCTTCTTTAGTCAAGGAGACCAGGTTGAATGGGGTTCAGGATCTTAACTGTGGTACCATATTTCACAGCAATAATAGAGGCCATCAAAAAAGAACTCTCTAGTTGTCAGGAAATCAGCTATTTTCCCCGTTAATCAGGTAAAGGCCTGTCATCTTTCCCAAGCTCATCCTTTACTTTTGCTATCAATCCAAGTCTTCCCTGCCTCCTCTGATCTCCTTTAATCTTCAATTTATTGATTGGAATCTTTCCTTCAGTTAGAAATCGACAACCAAACCAAACTGAACCAAGCCAAATCCTGTTCAGGTTCATCTCTATCTAGAAAAAAAAAATCTGTCCTTGACCTTGCCTGCCTTTTCTTTTCTCTCCTTTGCTTCACTACCAAATTCCTATATGATGAGTCCATATCATTCTCTACATTCTTCTATGTACTCAATTATGAACCAGTCCATTAAAATTACCCTCAAGAAAAGAGAACTTGTGACTTCTGAAAGGCCAGAGCCCATGGTTTTTGTTTTTTTTTTTTTTTTTTTTGGTATTTTTTTTGTTAAGATGTATTAATTTTATGAAAGGCAGAGTCACACAGACAGACGGGAAAGACAGAGAGAGATCGAGATCTTCCATCTGCTGGTTCACTCCCCAAATGGCCACAATGGCTGGGGTAAGACCAAGCCAAAGCCAAGAACCTGGGACTCCATCCAGTTTGCCCATGTGAGTAACAGGGGCCCAAGCACGTGGGTCATCTTCTTTGCTTTCACAGGCACATTAGCAGGGAGCTGGACTGGAAGTAGAGGAGCCAGGACTCAAGTCAGTGCTCATGTGTGATTCCAGAATCATAGGCAGTGGCTTAACCACATGCCAACCCTTTCTCAGTTCTTTTATACTAGATATTACTAGGATATTCAACAGTCTCCTTTCTTGAAGCCATCTTCTTTTTTTAAATTTTATTTTTTTATTTATTTGACAGAGATATAGATAGTGAGAGAGAGAGACAGAGAGAAATGTCTTCCTTCCATTGGTTCACCCCCGAAATGGCTGCTACGGCCTGTGCTGCGCCGATCTGAAGCCAGGAGCCAGGTGCTTTCTCCTGGTCTTTCATGTGGGTACAGGGTCCCAAGCACCTGGGCCATCCTCTACTGCCTTCCCCGACCACAGCAGAAAGCTGGGCTGGAAGAGGAGCAAGTGGGACTAGAACCCGGCACCCATACGGGATACCGGCGCCTCAGGTGGAAGGTTAACCAAGTGAGCCACAGCGCCGGCCCGGAGCCATCTTCTTAACTGGTTCCCTAGTGTTACTTGGCCTGGTTTTCCTCTGACTTTCCTTCCCATTCTTTTCATTTTCCCTGTCTACTCTTCCCAGGCTTTTAACCCTAGCCATGACCATGGCTTCCACTCCAGCCAACCCAGAGGCCATGTCCTCTCTGGGACTCTATTGACTCCTGTTCCCTGCAAGTAGAATTAGCTCTTCCTCTTCTGTGTAACTCCAGCACTTGGAACTAACTCTTGCCTTCCAGAAATGTTGTGAGGATAAACGGAGTGAATCAGGAGGAAGTACTCAAAGATAACAAAAAAACAGGTCTCAATAAATGTCAATTACAGTGTAGCTGTTGTTGCTGATGTTATCAATCATGCTTTTTTTGATCATACAAAAAGTACTATAGATATCTACATATTCATATTTCCTCATTCACTTATATATTCTCATTTAGTTTAGTAATAAGAAAGAACTATAATGATAATTCTATAGGAGGACACAGGAGATCTGTCAAGGAAGACTTCCTATTCTAAGTGGAAAGCTGAAAATAGAGTAGGATCTTGGGAAACCAACTGGGTGAGGCAGCAGGGGTGAAGGGAGATGAATTTTAGACCAAGGAAGCAGTACATGTAAAAGTTTAGAGGTGAGAGAGTATGGTGGCATTTGAGGAAGCATAACTGGATCAGCACAGTGGAGCACAAAATTCCAGGAAGGAATTAGCAAGAGATGTATTCAGATGGGGACACAACCTATCAGGAGCCACATATGGCTTTTCTTGAGGGGAACAGGGAGTCACTGAACAATTTTAATCAAGAGGAAGACAAGTTCAAATTCATGCATTAGAAAAATTATTCTATCATAATGCAAAGAACAGATTGGAAAAAGAGTTATGGGGGAATGGTGTCAATTCAGGTAAGAAACTAGAAGAGAGGCTAGTGTTGTGGCATAGCAGGTAAAGCTGCCACCTGCAATGCTAGTATCCCATATGGGTGCCCTTGCAATCCAGCTCCCAGCTAATGGCCTGGGAAAACAGTAGAGGATAGCCCAAGTACTTGTGCTCCTATACCCATGAGGGAGACCCAGAAGAAACTCCTTGTTCCTGTCTTCAGCCTGGCCCAGTTCTGGCCAATGTAGCCATTGGAGAGTAAACCAGCAGAGCGAATCTCTCTCTCTCTCTCTCTCTCTCTGTCTCTGTCTCTCTCTCCTTTCTCATCTCTATCTCTATCTTGATCTCGATCTCTATCATCTCTCAACTCTGCCTTTCAAATAAATAAATTAATCTTTAAAGAAAAAGAAAGAAAAGAAACAGGAAGTAAGAGGGTGGGCATTTAGTGCAGAGGTTAAACTGCCACTCAGGATGCCTGCATCCCATATTGGAGCATCTGGTTGAAGTTCTGGCTCCTCCATTTCCTATTCAACTTTCTCACAATGTGCACCCCAGGGAGGAAGCAGGTGATGACTCAATTACCTGGATTCCTGCCAGTGACAAGGGGGACCTAGATTGAGTTCTGGGTTCCTGGCTTTGGCCCAGCCTAACCCTGGCTGTTGCAGGCATTTGAGGGAGTGAACCAGCAGATGGAATATCTTTTTTCCTTTTCTCTCACACTATCTCTCAAATAAAGTAAAAATGATTAAGCATTATATTGTTAAAAGATTTATTTTATTTATTTGAAAGACAGAGCTACAGCTAGAGGCAGAGACAGAGAGAAAGGTCTTCCATCCTCTGGTTCACTCCCTAGATGGCCGCAAGGGCTGGAGCTGTGCCGATCTGAAGCCAGGAGCCAGGAGCTTCTTCTAGGTCTCCCATGTGGGTGCAGGAGCCCAAGCACTTGGGCTGTCTTCTACTGCTATCCCAGGCCACAGCAGAGAGCTGGTAAGGAAGAGGAGCAGCCGGGACTAGAACCGGCGCTCATATGGGATGCTGGTGCTTCAGGCCAGGGCATTAACCTGCTGCGCCACAGCGCCGGCCTCCAAATTAAGCATTATTTTACAAAAGGAAGAAACCAGCAGAGAAGTTGAGATGGATTCCAACTAAGCTTGGTTAGTCACTGGATGGAAATAATGAGGAAGAGAGAGGAATTACTGTTGATTTTAGATTTCTGGATTGAATAGCAGAGTTACCATTCAATAAGAAATAAAATTTAGGAAAAGGAGGTTTGTGAGGGAAGGTGGTGAGCTTAGATTTGGAGTTTGCAATATCTATGAAATATCTACCTATAGATGTCACATGAGAAGGTGGGTATAGTTGTCTGGTCCTAAGAGACAGAACTGATATATGTATACACACGCACACACACACACACACACATCTGTGAGCCTTTGGAACAAACGTAGATAAAGCCTTTGAAACAAAGTGGTAGAGGAAGCTTTGAGAGGATGTTAGATCATTCGGGGAGTATATATGAAGAGAGGAGAAGGCTGCAGCCAGAACTTTAAGAAACAATAAGGTCCCAGGCACGAGCCAAGAAAAAACAAATTGACCAGGAAACTTCAGAAAGTCTGCCCAGAGAGGGAAGAGGAAAGCCAGAGAATGTGGTATCCTGGAAGCAAGGGGTCAAATGCTACCAAGAGAACTTGTAAGAACTACTATAAGGGCCAAAACCACGTATCTTGTTATGGAATTGTTGGATAAAATCAGATGGCAGGTAGCTAAGGAGTGAATGGAGGGACTTATAGATAACTCTTTCCTGAAACTTTAATCCAAATGGGAGGGAGACTGCATAGTTTGGGTTGGGGTCAATGAGAGATCTAAGGATATTT